TCTTAAGCTGTCTAGAACAATAATAAAGCAGTCTTTTAAAAAATAAGTCTAATAATTTGAACATTGTACAGGCATTTATAGTTATTGACTTGCCTCCTTGCAGCAAACAGCGTGTTTCAATTTAGCCTCATTAGCACAAGAAAAAAAAAATCTGCCTTGCCTCCCAGCAATTTGCCTCCTTGCAGCAGACAGCAAGTTTCACTTTCAATTTCAGCCTTTTCCGCAAGGAGATAAATTGCCGAGAGGCAGAGGCCAAAGGGTGGGGTGGTGGTGGATGGGCGGGGCTAAATTTGGTGCATAAGACGCACTCAAATTTTCACCCTCTTTTACGGGAGAAAAAGGTGCGTCTCATACTTCGAAAAATATGGTATTTTCCTGGCCTGGTCCTGTAGCTTTCCCATCCCAGGAAATAAGCCTCTCTCGCTTCTGACAGGAGTGAATGAAAAAACACACACACACACACACATATCAAGTGTCAAAGACTTCTCACTTTGAAGTTTTCTCCTCCTGATTTTTCTCCAGCCGGAAGCCGACGCCGGATGCAAAGAAGAAGCCGACATGAAAGAGAAGCAGAACGGCGTGGAGGAGAAAACAGACGTCGACATAGAAATTTGAGGCTGAGAGTTGATGACCCGTTAGTTTTCTAAAAAAAAAAAAAAAACTGAAGAATTTCCAGTGAACTTTAGACCTTTATTTTTCTATCTTGATTCGGTAAGGGGGGTGACGGCTGGGGGGGGCTGTTTAGTGTCTATCCTAGGAAAAAAAAACAAAACGGTGGCAGAACCAGAAACAAGTAACGTTTGATGTATTATTTATTCGGACATGCATCCCTTTACTCTGTTGTTGTTGAGCTTGAAAGTTCTGTTAGGGTCCCTTCTTTCCTATCAGTTTCCTCATCTCCTTGGCATCCTTCTCAGGTTTCCAGCTTGGCCTAATCAAGTGTCACATTTTATTCCTCCCCCCCCTTCTTTACTGCCCCCCCCTTCCCTTCCTATTTTTAAAGAAAGTTTTTTATCTGCACATGCACACAGCTATTGCATGAGAGGCCTAATAAACACAAAAGAGAGCTGCCTTTTCTGCCGCAGTTTAACATCCTCTCTTCGGCTCCGTTGTCACGGATGCCCCAAGCAGGGCTGGCCACTTTTCTTGTCAAAGGGCTCCTCTTCTCCAGGAGAGGAAAAGAAATAGAAAACCAAAAAACTTGAGCAGTAAACTCTAAAAGTCTGGAGGGTTAGCGGCCCTCGGACTGTTAAATGCAGATATTCCTCCCTCCCCGAGTTCGCTCAACATCAGCACCACCAGGTTGGATAAATGACTGCCTGCCAAGGGGATCGGCTAGTAGGATCTTTGGAATAAAGAGGACATATCAGAAGTTCAGGAAAATAATATCTGGTCAGCCAGAGTTGCAGGTCAGTGACAGTTAGCCATTTTCTGGAAGGAGGCCGCCCACATGCCATAAGCTTTCAAACATCGGCCAGTTGGGAGAACATCCTTCTACACCAATGTGGTGGGATTGATCTGCAGCGTCTCCTCCTGGGATGTCCCTATATCCCTCCCCCTCCATTGAGCACAGAAAGACCTAATGAGATAGATCAGGCATTCCCACTAGGACTGTGGCGGTGAACCCGGCACGCACGGCCTTCTGGGTTTCTGGCGCGCACGCAACAACCAGCTGTCCTTCACGCGCATGGCAGTGCCGAAAACCGATGCGCACTTGCGGCTTAGCCAGCTGATCGTCTGGGCGTGCGTGTGCGCTAAAACCCAGGAGTTTGGCTTTCCCGCTATCCCTTCGCACGTGTGGTAGTGTCGAAAACTGGGCCTCGCCAGCTGATCGTTGTGCGCGCATGCACGCTAGAACCCGGACGTTCAGCTTTCCCAGAGCCCGACAAATGCCGAAAAGGTTCGCCATGACCGCACTAGGACATTTGCCTACGTTCCCACAATTGCCTCGGGAGCCCGCCCACAACTCCCACCAACAGTTCAAGGCTTAGCCCCTTGTCCAGCCAGGTGGGAAGAAGGGAGGTCAGTAGTCCAGCAGGTGAAGAGGTCACTAAGGAAATCACGCGTTGGAATAAAAGCCTAATGCAGGTCAAGGAACGGAGCACAGAGATACAGTTTGGATAGCTGATCAGAGAAGATGGGTGGGAAAGCAGGGGCAGGATCTGCACTCCCAGCTCAGTTGGATTCTTGGAAAATGGGACATTGAGATAATTTGGAAGAAGGGCGTCAAACCTTGAGCGCGTGGCACCGTGCGCAGCCTTGAAGACTCTTGGTGAGCCTGTGCTTGGGTGAGGTTTGAAAGACATCTTCCAAGTGGTCATTTCCCTGCCTTTAATGTTACTTTTGTGACGAGCTTGAGCTCCGGCCGTGACCTCCGAGTATTTTGCAACCCATCCATGCATTTCAGGAATGGGAGCGAGGTGTTGGGCCGAGGCAGTCAAGAGGCAGGTGTGGCTAGGCGGACCGAAGGCTGTGTGCATCAGTGGCGATGACTTCTGAAAGAAAAGCGAACGCAAGCGGAGTCATTTCATAATTGGCTTTTTAAAAAAAACAGTTAATGCAACCCTGCTCTGTTTCGCCCATTATGCAGATTAAAACTGTATAATCTCTGCTTGCGTGTATGTGGTTACTGGGGCGGGAGGACGGTTTTTGAAACTTTACGGCTTTCCGCAAATCCAAAGCGCGAAGAAAAACGAGGAACGATTCCCTTCTCTCTTTAAGGCGCTGTGGCACCCTGGTTGCAGCCTTCCCGTGGATTCGGGGGACCTGCGCTAAATATGGAAGGGTGCTAATGGAATCCCACTCGATTGTGGAAGAAGGGGTGAATAAATTGGACGGTGAACGCAGTCCCTGTGGTTTCCTCTGCAGCACTCTGGTTAAATCGGTGATCCAAAAAGACCTTGACGGACTTGAACAATGAGCCATAATATCCAACATGAAATTTAATGGGGAGGAAAGCACGGTTTTTACACCTGGACAGGAAGAACCGAAAGTCACAAACTACAGATTAGGTGAAAGCTGGCTCAAAAACTCTTGAGGACCTCTGAGTCCTAGTGGGCGATCCCATAAAAATGAGCCAGCCCTGCGTGGCAGCAGCCGAAAAAAAAATCTTAATATAACCCTTGGTTGTATAAACAGAGGCATAGAATCAAAATCAAGTGAGGTATTAGTACTGCTTTATAAAGCCTTAGTAAGGCCACACCTGGAGTACCGCATCCACTTTTGGTCACATCACAAAAAAAGATGTTGAGATTTTGGAAAAAA